GATGTAAGCCCTTAGAATTTTGCTTGGTCTGTTGCACTGCCTTCTTGGAGATTGTCCCACTTCACAATCCCCCTGGGAACTAATATGAGCATCTGCTGCTGGATAACCTGATGACTCTGCCCACCTGAGGGGTAAAGCTGGTCCCTTAGTGAGCATACTTTCATATTTGGAAGAGGCCTGCCCAGCTGTGCTTCCTTTCCTCTGAACCATCAGCCCACATCATTTGTATATTTTTCTGTGAGGTTGTTAGCTTTGCATTGATTTCTTGGGGCTCTTTTTATATGGAGGACCATGGTAAATAGATGTTCAGGGACAGAGCAGCTCCATGATAAGGTTGCCCCTGGTATGATATCTTCTCATGAAAATGTGAATATGCGTGCCAGTCCTCTGGACTTAGGGAGAAACATAAGAAGTCCTCCCACCCTGCCCTGAAGTCTCCAAGGGACTTGTGAGAAAAATGAGACCATGTGAAAGCAAAATGGAAAAATGCACAAAATCTGTGAGGCAAGGTGTCCACGGAAAGGCAAGCCTGGCTTGCTGGACACCTTCCATGCGCCAACGTTCTGTGCTCATTCCAGGCTTCAAATTCCCAAGTGCCTGGGCTTATTCAGTGGCCTGTGTGTGGCTTGTATAGGTAGTGGCAGGATACAGTCCCCCACTGGGCCTTGCCACCTCCCCAGCCCAAAGGGAAGCTGGTGGAAGTAGGTGGTCTGTGGGCCATTACTTCACAGGAGGTGATGAGGGCAGAGGAGCTTCAGCACAGCCCTGTGACATCTGTGCCTCTGCCTGCCCCATTTGACAGCCAAGCAAATAAAGACCCTGAGTCACACAGTTGGCTGATAGTAGGGCAGGGGTCGGAATCTTCCCTTTGCTTCTCATACCAGATGTCAGAGCCTGGCAAGGTGAGGTCCGTGGTGAAGCCCAGGCAGGTTTCCTGAGGAGTAGGTCTCACTGATCTGCATCTCCCAACCTTTGGGTTCTGGTTTGGGCTTTAGGGGATCCTAGTGATGAAGGTGACTTACTGCTGAGTCCAAATCTGTTCTAGCAAGGGAGGCTCCAAGGGGTCACAGCAGTTGTTCTGACCCCAAGGTCCGTGTGCTGCACAGAGAAGGTGGCTCACCTGCCCAGACTGGAGGAGCCAGAGGGGCCAGAGGGACTGTGAAGGTAGGGGAAGGCATTTCAGCATGCCTTCGCTGCAGGCAGGGCCCCAGGCAAGGCTGCCCTCTGTGGAAGCAGGGAGTGAGGCCTAGCACCCAGCAGGCAGCCAAGCCCTTTTCCCCCTAGAGAGAGGCCCCATGGGCAACACTGTCTAAGCTTAGGGGTGGCAGGGCTGGCAAGAGAAGCCAGGGTACCCCTACTTTCTGGCCTCTGCAGCTTTCTGCCCTGTGCCTGCTCCCTCTCCCTGGGATGCCCACAGCTACAGTGTGAAGCTGATTCAGGATGATTTGACCTCTTTGTTCCCCAGGGCCTAGTGTGTGTACCAGGTGAGGGCAAGGTCACTCCTTGTTCATGCTATGTCCTTCCACCCACAGGTAAGGGTCTAGGGGCTGGCAAAGCCGGTGAGGGGTAGGATGGACTTGAGCACCTGATGGGTCCTTGGAGGCTTTTGTGGGGCATGGCCTTTGCTAAGGTAGCCCAGAGGCCCATCAGAGGGTATCAGCAAGGCCCCATTCCTGGGGGTGTCCTGGAAGTGACTGTCCAATGGAGAGTAGCCCTGGCTGGGGGCAGAGGAGAAGTGGTGTGGGGGGGTTGGTACTCTTTGAGGTACTTTGACTCTCAAGGGTCCATGAACCAGTGACATTCTGTGCGTATCTTCAGGACTTGGGTCCATCGTGAAGTCTTAGGAAACTGTCAGCAGAGACTCAGCAGTCAGGGAGGATGGGCTGGACACAGCAGCTCTGGCTGCTCTGAGCTGGGGAGAGGAGGAGACCTGCGAAGTGGGCATCCCCTCTACCTGGTGGGGAGAGGCAACTGAGCCAAACTGGAGACTCAGGGTGCTCCCGAGCCCCTGTTCCTCCTTTCCTCTGTGGCCTGCAGGAGGGCTGCATACCCAGTTTTCCAGGCACACCAGGCCCCGTGGCACTCATAGCCCAGACGCCAACGGCACTGGACTCCAAATCCTGTATGTTCCTTTTTCTCATGGTGGGAAATCTTTCCATCAAGCATAAGCTGTGTTCCTCCTATCATGCATATCCTGTGTCCCCCAGCCACATTCCACATCTTGGGACTCTGAGTACCTCGCAATCCCTCTACCCCTGGTTGGCCCTCTCCCATTCCCAAGGATCTCTGAAGGACACTGAGGTGCAAGGTTGGGGTCCCCAGGTTGCCTGCAACTGCATGGATCCGGTACCAGCTACATGCCCTGGGCTTGGCATCAGCCCTTGTACTCCCTTTAGTGCTTTGGGAGCTGGTGGGCAGTGGGGCTGAGGGGACTTCTTGTTCTTCCTGCTTTCTTGGGAAGACTGGTGCTCACCTTCCTGGCCCTCACTTGTAGGCAGGTGTTGGTCCCAGGAGTGGGAAAGCAAGTTCCAGAGAGCCTGAGGCTGGAGAGAGAGCAGAGTGCTGGGACAGTGGGGCAGGCATGGGCTGGGAAGTCCTGGTGGTTTCTCAAACCACGAGGGCCTGACTCTGGAGGTGACGACATTGTTTGCTCCTGTTGTGCCTGGAGGATGAAGTGATGTATTGGGCCCTCCAAACCATTTATTCAGTGATGCATTCACTCTGCTAAAGTTTCCTGAGATGAAGCAGCAAAGGAGACTTGGGGAGCAATGGAGGGCCTCCTCATATTCTCTGAGGTGCTGGGGGTCATGAAGGGTTTATGCAGGACGCGAGGAGGCTCAGATGTCTTTTCACTCTAGTATTTTTGGGGGGGAATGAAGTTCATATAATATAAAACCACCATTTTAAAGCGAACAATTCAGTGGCATTTAGCACAATTACAGTGTTGCGCAACCACCTCCTCCATCTCGTTCCAGCACACTTCATCATCCCGAAGGCCACCCTGCCCTATTAGCAGTCACTCCCCATTTCCCCTCCCCAGCCCCTGACAACTCCTAATATGGTTTCTGTCTCTATGGAGTTGCCCGTTCTGGACATTTTATATAAATGTGATCATACAACATGTGGCCTTTTGTGTCTGGCTTCATTCACTGAGCATTCACGTTTTTCATGTTCACCAATGTTGCTGTGTGAATCGGCTTCATTCCTTCTTAAGGCTGAGTAATATTCTATTGTGTACACATACCACATTTTGTTTATCTACTCATCCATTGATTGGCATTTGGATTGTTTCCACCGCTCCTTTTTAAAACCTAAAAACAAAATTCTAGCCCTGGCTGGTGTGGCTCAGTGGATTGAGTGCTGGCCTACCAACCGAAAGGTCACCAGTTTGATTCCCAGTCAAGGCACATGCCTGGGTTGCAGGCCACGTCCCCAGTTGGGGGCATACTGGAGGCAACCAATAGATGTATCTCTCGCACATTCATGTTTCTCTCCCTCTCTTTCTTCTTCTCTTCCCCTATCTCTAAATATAAATAAGTAAATCTTTAAAAAATCTAAAACAATTTTTCTTTTCTCTCCTGATTCCTCATTTGGAGGTACAGGAGGAATCTCTGCTTCTCTTGTCCCCACCCCCTCAGCAAGCTGCTTCCATTGGTAAACCTATCTTCTTACAGAGATAGTCTTGGTTTGGGGGCTTCCCCACAATTTGCTGTTTCCCCCACGTTGGCCAGGGGGTCCCATGCAGTCTGCTGCTTCTTGGGATAGATTCAGATTCTGCTGTGTCCTCTCAATAGCTCCGGGGTTACGGGCAAGCTCCTAAGCCTATTCCTGTCCTTGGAAGGTGGAACTGGTGGACCTTTCCCCTTGACTAGGCAGCCACAGAGCATAGCCCAAAGCCAAATTCTTCTGAAAATTGCCCTAAGACTTTGTGGTCATGTGGCTGCCCTCCCCCAGGGTACTGGGAACTAGAAGTGTGCTGGCGGGTGTCGGAGTGGCTGGGCCTTCCTGGAGGTGGCACACCCCCCTCCACAGTGAGATGCACCCCTGTCCCTAGAGCCCATTGCTCCTGGGAAGCTGCAGGTCTAGTTCCTCCTCCACACTCACACTGGGAATCTGTGCCGGCACCTTAATCCCACCCAGCCTCTGTAGAAGAGAGATGGGTTTACCCATGGGGCTTGCTGGAGCATAGGGACATTGGTGATATGGAGAGTGCAGCACTCAGGAGGCATATCTAGAATGAAAAATAATGAGATAGAGTTTTTAAAAGGAGAGGGTTGGAAGCAACCTAGCATGTCTATAGATAGTTGAAGGGATAAAGAAATTGTGTACTCACACACTTCCGTAGTAGAATATTATTCAGCCATAAAAAGGAGTGAAGCACTGATAAACACTACAATGTAGATGAACCTTGAAAATGTGATACTAAGTGAGAAAAGTCATAAAAAACCACTTATTGTCTGATTCCATTTATATGAAATGTCCAGAAAGGTAAATCCGTAGAGCCAGAAAGCGGATTAAGGGTTGCCAGAGGATGGGACGGGGGACCAGGGAATGGGGGGCATGGGCAGTGACTGCTAATCGAGATGGGGTTTCTTTCTGGGCTGATGGAAATGGACTGGAATTAGATCGAGGTGGTGGTTGCACAACATTGTGAATGTACTAAATGCCACTGAGTTGTACATGTTAAGTAGTGAACTTTGTGTTATGTGAATCTCACCTCAATTTTTTAAAAAAGGGACCTGTGGTCCCCTCGGGTCCTATGTGAAATCCTGCCATTATCACAGGCAGCAAATGACATCCACTGCCAAGGCTAGTCAGTGGGCAGGTGGCATACATGGTTGAGACCCAAGTTTTGTTTCTCCTTCCCTGGGGCTGGTTCTGGTGATTTTGCCTGTGCCTGAGGCAGCTTCAGAGTCTGGGCGAGCTGCCCAGGGTCCCTGGGCTAAGACCAGCCTGCCCCGAGACCTCTGAGCCTCGAACTCCACCCTGCTCTCCCACAGCATGGCCGATAAGAACGGAGCCCTCAAGTGCACCTTCTCAGCGCCCAGCCATAGCACCAGCCTCCTACAGGGCCTGGCCACACTTCGCTCACAGGGCCAGCTCCTGGACGTCGTGCTCACAGTCAACAGAGAGACCTTCCATGCGCACAAGGTGGTCCTGGCTGCCTGCAGTGACTACTTCAGGTTAGCACAGGCTCAGGGTGTGGGCTGGAGAGTGCAGGCCCTTCTGAGAGGGGCAAGTTCAGCACCATCCAGCGAAGGATGGCTATGAGGGAAGGTGGCTGGTGTTGGCCCAATGGCCAGTAGACCTACTGTTTTTCCCAGATTTGCAACTTACTTAAAACTTTTTGGGGACACTGCACAGGCAAGAACATACCTGGGGGTCAGAGGTGGCCCATGGGCATCCATTTAGCAGTTTCTGCCCCGAGGGATGGCAGAGCTTGGCCAGATTTCCACTCTGTCTTTATTTGACACCTGTGTGTATCAGATGCTGTACTGGCCTCGGATCCAGCAGGGAGAAGACTGCCACAAGTCCCTGCCCTAGTGGTACCTGTGCTCAGGACAAGAGAAAGGAGGGACTCCCCGACGGTGGCCCCAGAGGGTGCCAGGTTCTGTTCTAGTCCCCACATGACAGGCGAGGCCTTGCTGGGTGCATGGATCAGTCTGCTGTGAAGGCCTTTTCCTGGAGGTGCCCTTCTGGGGGTGGTTCTCTGGCCCTGCTTTGCGGGTGATAGCCAAGGCATCTCTGCCACCATCTCACAGAGCCCCACCCCTGGTGCGCACAACAGGCTGCATCTCTCCCCTGCCCAGTTGCCCTCCAACTGCCCGCCCTGTGGGCTCAATGAGGCCCTTCTGGGGAGCTAGAGAAGCCAAGCCATCTGGGGCGCCGCTTCTATTTTTATTCTGGATTTGGGGACGGGCGAGCCGCCCCAGCCAGAAATGCCCTTTAAAGGCTCCTTTGCGCTGATGCTGCAGCTGGCGAGGCCTTAAAAGGCAAAGCTCCCTCTCGTCGCCATGACTGCTTCTGCCTTCAACAGGCTGATGGGACTCACAGGGACAAGAAGGGGCAGGGCCCTGAGGCTGGCAAAGCACTGCTCTTGGAAGGGCTGTGGCACTGCCTCGTGGAGTACTGGGCAGTTGTTAGTTGGTGGCCCCAAGACAGCACCTGAGCCTGGCCCATACTAGGGGTGACTGGGTGACAGGTATCTGTTAGGTAAATGGCCCAGGGAAGTTCCCTCCCTACAGTCAGCTGTTGTGGCCGTCAGAGTTATGATGAAAGGCCAGTCTGCCTGTGAAAGAACCTTCCCCGTGCCATCTTCTAGAACGTCCTATGAACTCCTAGCAGGCACTGGGATTCTCAGCCTTCTTCCTGGTGGAGAGCCCCTAAAAAAAGGCTGTGGGGGGCTGTGACCCAGGTTCTATGTCCCAGAGCAGGAAAGCACAGCTGACAGACCTGGGGTCACTCACTAGGAGATCTCACAGTGGTCCGGGACTCCTCTGGGCCATTCTCAGGGGCTTCCCTGACTACTTGGGCCTTTCTCTGGACATATCAGTGACCCCGGTTGGGGTCCTTTAATAGGTGTCCCAACCTGGGACCTTTACTCTCTTCCTATTCCTATGTGGTAGCAGCTGAGACTCAGGCAGGGGAAGGTGGAGCCACCTATTCAGGTGAGTGTGCTGGGGAGGGAGTGGACTCTATGAACTATGGTGTGCATTTCCCTGATGTCCCCCCGTTGTATTTCCTGACCTTACTGAGGGACTGGTCCTCATAGCTGGGCACTAAAGTGGAGTTGGAGACTTCTCCCTAGAGCCAAACCTAAGGTTTGGCCTCCTCCCATACTACCCTGCCATGAGTGGGGGGCAGAGGGGGACCTGGCCCCCACTCTCCAAACCAGCCCACCCCAGTGCTGCACACATCTGGGTAGGGTTGGGCCCCACCAGAGGGGCAGAGTACAGAGCTCCTGTTGGTAGGAAGGTGCGTGCCTTAGAGTGGATTAAACTTTTTTTCTTTTCTTTTTGCGTGTCTTTAATGCACACCTGGCCTGCTTTCCCCTGGTGGGCCAAGCCTGTGTCTTAGGACCAGGCTATCCCAGTGACCACAATGTCCCTCGGTGCTCTGAACCCACATGCTATGTTTCCGACCCTCAGGGCCATGTTCACAGGTGGCATGAGGGAGGCGAGCCAGGATGTCATTGAGCTGAAGGGCTTGTCAGCACGTGGCCTGCGGCATATCATTGACTTTGCCTACAGCGCCGAGGTGACACTGGACCTGGACTGTGTGCAGGACGTGCTGGGTGCAGCTGTGTTCCTGCAGATGCTGCCAGTGGTGGAGCTGTGCGAGGAGTTCCTCAAGGCCGCCATGAGTGTGGAGACCTGCCTGCACATCGGCCACATGGCCACCACCTTCAGCCTGGCCTCACTCAAAGAGTCTGTGGATGCCTTCACCTTCCAGCACTTCTTGCAGATTGCTGCTGAGGAGGACTTCCTGCAGCTGCCTCTGGAGCGCCTTGTCTTCTTCCTGCAGAGCAACCGGCTACAGAGCTGCGCTGAGATTGACCTGTTCCGTGCTGCTGTCCGCTGGCTGCAGCACGATCCTGCCCGGCGGCCCCGTGCCAGCCACGTGCTCTGCCATATCCGTTTCCCACTCATGCACTCATCTGACCTCGTGGACAGTGTGCAGACACTGGACCTCATGGTGGAGGACGTGCTGTGCCGTCAGTACCTGCTAGAAGCCTTCAACTACCAGGTGCTGCCCTTTCGGCAGCATGAGATGCAGTCCCCACGCACAGTTGTGCGCTCCGATGTGCCCTCTCTGGTGGCTTTTGGTGGCACACCCTACACTGACAGTGACCATGCTGTCAGCAGCAAAGTATACCAGCTGCCTGAGCCAGGAGCCCGCCACTTCTGCGAGCTTACAGAAATGGAGGTGGGATGCAGCCACACATGCGTGGCTGTGCTGGACAACTTTGTGTATGTGGCTGGGGGTCAGCAACTACAGTACCGCAGCGGTGAGGGTGCAGTGGATACCTGCTACCGCTATGACCCGCACCTGAACCAGTGGCTGCGTCTGCAAGCCATGCAGGAGAGCCGCATCCAGTTCCAGCTGAACGCACTGTGTGGCATGGTCTATGCCACAGGTGGCCGCAACCGAACTGGCAGCCTGGCCTCAGTTGAAAGATACTGCCCTAGGCGCAATGAATGGGGCTATGCCTGCTCACTGAAGCGCCGCACCTGGGGCCATGCAGGTGCCTCATCTGGGGGCCGCCTGTACATCTCAGGTGGCTATGGCATCTCGGTAGAGGACAAAAAGGCACTGCACTGCTATGATCCTGCAGCTGACCAGTGGGAGTTCAAGGCACCCATGAGTGAGCCCCGAGTGCTGCATGCTATGGTTGGTGCTGGTGGCCGCATCTATGCCCTGGGTGGCCGCATGGACCATGTGGACCGCTGCTTTGATGTGCTGGCTGTGGAGTACTATGTGCCCGAGACCGACCAGTGGACCAGTGTGAGCCCAATGAGGGCTGGCCAGTCGGAGGCCGGCTGCTGCCTGTTGGACAGGAAAATCTATGTTGTTGGGGGCTATAATTGGCGCCTCAACAATGTGACAGGCATTGTGCAGGTGTATAACACCGAGACGGACGAGTGGGAGCGTGACCTGCACTTCCCTGAGTCCTTTGCAGGCATCGCCTGTGCCTCGGTCCTACTGCCTCGTGCTGGGAGCAGGAGGTAGCTCCTAGGACGCCCCCTCCTGCCATGACCTGGCTGCATGCTGTTCTTGCCAGAGGCTTGGTGAGCACATGTCCTGTGGAGAACCTCATCACCCTCACCCCAAACCTTTGACTGCCCGCCCCAGCCCTAGCTGGCCGTATAGGCCCTCTGTGTTGATAAGCCTTCTTCCTAGGGTTCTTCCTTTCCAAAGCAGATCTTGGCTCTGCGCCTGCCCAGGGAGCCTGCCAATGAGGAGGTTGACATGTTATGGCAGAAAACTTGAGCCTGAGGCAGTTTTCTCATCTGCACAGGGTCCTCATTCAGGGGCGGGAATCGGGAGTCAGGCGTGTTGCTGTGCCCCGCTTCTCTCCCATCCCTCAGCCCAGCAGTCTCATACATTCAGATGAGGGCTCATTAGTGTCATTCCAAATTCATGGTACGCCACTCTCCTCCTCCCAAGTTTCTCTCGCTTCTGTGTTTTAAAATAACTGCACCCCACATCTCTGTCATTTGGACCCTTTGGAGCAGGAGGGGCTTGGAAGCACCCAGCTCTGAGTGATGACCAAGGGTCGTTCTGTCTTCCGAATGAGCCCGAGCTGTTGAGTGTGAGGGGGGGCCATAGGGAGGGTTCGGCAATTGCCCCTACTCCTGTCCTTGGTCTGAGACCCTCAGGGTGTTTGTTCATTTGCTTTCAGAAGGAAAAACCACAGCCAGCTCTTGGAGATGGTTTTTATAGGTTCAGGCCTCCCACTGGGCTCTGAGCCATATGGAGGGCCCTAAGGAGAATTGGGCTAATGTCCCTGCCCCACAGATGAAGGAGGATGTTGCTTTAGAATCTCAGTACGTCTGTATTCCACAGGTCTGTTCAAGGATTTTTATTTCATTCACTCTCCAGCCTGGTACTCCCCCCCCAGTCCTGTGTTCAGGTCCAAGTGCCACCTGGCCCAAGGCTACCAGTACAGGAAGTCAGGCAGATGGGAACACAGCATTTCTGGCTACATTTGTTTTGGTCTCTAAACCTTTTTTTCTGTTGCTCCATTTTGCTGGGGGTTTTTTTGCTTTTTTTTTTTTTAAAGAGGCCAGCACCGCTGTCTTATAAATGGGGTTTGTACCCTTGGGGCAACTTAAAGTGTCTCTCTGCTGCTAACAGACGATTGATGTCATGTCTCTGTGACCCACTCGCTGTGTAAAGAATTAACCTCATACCTTAGCAGACGTCGTCTCCTAATATTTTCCTTGTATTTAATAAAAATGTTATGGTGAAAGCTGGAGCAGGCCCAGCGCTGAGCTTGTGGAGCCTGATAGGTCACAGATTCCTCCTGTCCTCTGGGCATGTGGGGGCCCCTCTCCCAGTTCACCGTTTCCCATCCTTGCAGAAGAGCTGGAAGGGGGGGGGCCAGTCTTTAGCTCGGGGGTGTGAATGAGGGCAATGGGAAGTGGAGCTGGCACTATTATTCAGCACTGGTAAGACAGGTAGCAAACCCAGTGGCTCCCAGCAACTCTCAAGGCTATTCCATGTGCCTGGTGGTTCAGCCCCCCTGCCACCAGCCAACTCCCAGCCTTAGCAGGTTCTGTCTCCATATACTCAGGCCCGGGGTGCAAGATCATGTGGCTGTGGAGCCCATCTACCCAGAGACTACAATGCAGAAAAGAAAGGGCAGGCCTGAACGAAGCATGAAGTCACTGACCACTGTGGCTCAGTTGGGTGGATGTTGTCCCACAAAGTGAAAGGCTGCCAATTGGATTCCCAGTCGAGGCACATGCCTGGCCTGTGGGTTTGGTCTCCAGTTGGGTTGGGGCCTGTATGAGAAGCAACTGGTCGATGTTTCTCTCCCTCTGTTTCTCCCTCCCTGCCCCTCTCTCTAAAAATAAATAAATAAATAAATAAATAAATAAATAAATAAATAAATAAATAAATATTTTTTAAGAAAGAAAGCATGAAGTTATCATGCTTCCATAGGGCCTAAGAACTCCATGAGTTGCCCTCAGTCCCTGCTTTTGTGGTAGCCTCACTGTCAACCAGGCTTCACATTAGTGGACAATGCCTGCTGTTCATGTATAGCCTTCTGAGAGGGGAGGCTTCTAGGTCACCCTGAAAAGATACCATAGGCCTCGTGCTCCTGTCCAGCAGCCATAGGGCCCCTGGGGTGAGGCTGAGTGGGGAGGCAGTGTTGAAATAAGAATTTGGTTGGGAATGAGGAAGGAGCCCACACTGCCAGGGGCATTGAAAGGAAAGCAGTGGCCCTTGGGGTCTCACCAGAACATCTCAACCCCTTCTCACTGCCCTAACCTGAGCTCCCCCAAGAGACCCCTTTTTTGCTGGAGGCACAGCCCCTTCAGGGGGGCAGTGAGAAGCCTTTGCCAGCTGCAAGTTCCCCCAGATCAGCTCACACCTCAGAACATCTTGTCCCCAATGAGCTGGCAGGGGTGCCGGCACAGAGTGGAGGGGGCGCTGCTGTATCTAACTGGTTGATTGTGCGTAACCGTCTGGGCTGGTCCATGGAATGTTCTCAGGGGCCCCCTATCCCTCCTTCTCCACCCACCCCCCTGGAAGAAAGGAAAATTATTTTTTGTATTGTAAACTTTAAACACGAAAAAGCTGTTTTTAATTTAGCAGAAACTGGCTTGAAACTTTACTTTGTGAACATTTGTGTCCTTCAGAGAAAGGCAAAACATGTGTACACATACACATAGAGGCTTGCACACACAAACACACATGCTCACACTCAGGCATACCTGCACACATGTGCTTGTTCATCCACAGCTGAACAAATAGCTCACACACGCTTCCCTGGCCCAGTCTGGCCATTTCTGTGTGGTACCCTGAAGGGGTCTGCAGCTCATCACCTTATCACTTCCCTTCACCTTTCACCCAGGACAGCATCCACTGTGCATGGGGACCGAGCTTGAGGAAAGCCCGTCTCCTTCCAGATGGCCTTCTTCCCCACTGAGGCCCCGGACTCCGCTGCTGGAGCCTCCCTCTGCACCTGGGCCGGGGCTGTGGGAAAACTCTGTCTCTGGGGACAGTGGGATGCAGGCTCGTGAGAGGGAGGCCAAGTGTGACTTCTGGGGCCTCGCAGCAAGTAAGGGCCAAAGGGGCCTTGGGGGAGCTGTGTGAGGTGGGAATCTGCCCTGGACCTGACCAGTTTGGAAATCTGCCTCTGGCTTTGTATCCTGGAATGCAGCTACAGCTCCTCTGTTCTCACGGGCCCTGGAGATTTCACTTCTCATGGTGGAGTCTCCGAGCATGGGTTTTATTAGGGGCACCTGGCTGTGTGTCCCGGGGCACTGCCAGAAATGTTTATTGCACAAATGAGAGGTTGGGTGGGAAGGTGGGAGCAGAGCCTCATCCACTCTAAGCATTTGTGGGTGCTATCTGTGGACCCCCAAGGGCAGGTGGTCCATGAGTCCATGCTCCTCCACAACTAGACCCCAGCCCAATTCTTGTGGCTGACTCTGCTGTGGTCAGCCTGGCAGCCATTTCTCCTTCCTCACCCACAGAGCCCTGATTTGGTGCCAGCAGCAGTGTGCCCAGCCTCGGGTGGGGGTTAATTTAGGATTTGGCCCAGATTTTCTTGGTAATGCCTTTTGCAGGGGTTGTTTTCAATCTGGGCGAACTTCCCAGCTTTGGGCAGTAAGCTTTAAGGGAAGGTCTGGGGTGGGAGTTTCTGGTCACGGGAGAAGCTTTATTGCCCTCTTCCAACCCTTAATGCTTCCTATAAGGACATAGGATGCCAGGAACTTTTGCAGCCATCTTGTGGCCATGAGGAGCATTAAGAGAGGCACAGAGATGCCACCTCCCAGAACCCTGAAATCATGAGGCCACCAGTCCCACCCTGGAAACTCTGATCTCCAGCTTCCTTTTTATGAGAAATCACAATGTCTGTGGTACTTGTTATACTTAGTATCTTAAGATACTAGTGGTCAGCTATTCTGATATTTTCAACCCAGACACTTACAAAATTATAATACAAAGGTAACAGATGCTGGGGTTCCCAATCTTACCATAAGTCAGGGTTGGGTTTTTTGTTGTTGTTGTATTGTTTTTGCAAACCGCAGAAACTGATCTGGCCAACCAATAGCAAAAATATGCATTGGAGGGCTGCTGGATTGCTCATAGAAGTGGCAAGAAGGTGGGAAAACCAGGCTCAGAAAATAGTAAGAATCAAGGTGGCTGGGCAGCTGGGGTGATCAGCTGAAGGCGACTGATTGCTGAGGATGCTTGTACCATCACCACAGAATCCAGATATCTCAACTGGCAATGCCATCTGTCCCTGGCACTCAGCCATAGCCACCCCTGGAAACTGGATGCTCCTGCCCTGATTGTATTTCTTTGTGTCACTTGCTCCTCAGTGGAAACATCCTATTGGCCTACCCCATGTCCTGTGCCAACCTAGCTGCCTGCGTCCCCAGAAAAGTGAGTACACGAGTGTGCTAGTCAGCCGCTGCCACCTTGTAACAACCCAAATCTCAGTGGCATACAGAAATAAATGGGTGTTTTTCATGTATCTGTGACTCAGTTGTGGGTGCCTATTCTATGCTGCCCTCAGGCGGGCAGCTCTCTTCCAGAAACAAGGCTGGGTGAGGTGAAGGGGGTGCTCAGCCCTACCGGTCTTCATCCTCAGACCAGCAGGGAGCCAAAATAATGTTCTTCCACAATGAAGCCAGAGGAGAAGTGGAGTCACACGAGGCCTCCTGAGGACCCGGTTTGGAACTTGTATGCTGACACTTCTGCCTGTGTGCCGTTGGCCAAAGCTAATCACATGGCCAAGCCCAAAATCAGGGCTGGGAAATAATTCTTCTTACAAAGGAAAGATGCACAATGGTGAGGTAAGGGGTAGGAAACAGGACGGAGGGGGAACTGAGGCCCATGGTTAGATCCATCACACTGTTGGCTCTGGGGCTTTTGTTAGTGGGGGGCTGACTTCCCATGATGGGGATTCCCCAGGCTTGAATGGGGACTCAGATGTTGAGCCACCAGAAAGAAAAGCCCATTGGGCCACCAGGAGAAAAGCTGGTGAGTACCCCCTGAAGGTTGGGAATCCTCTTTTGTCACATAGGTTGGGATTGTAAATGCCCTGGGCTTTAGGACAGTGGGCAGGGGGTCTGCGTGGGGGAGTTCAGTTGCAGCTCAGCCATGCATGGGCATTGTGTTGTCATTGGATGTTCCCTCTGGTGGTCGCAATGGGAGGAAATGGACTGCTTGTCCTGCCCTGGTCCTGCTGTCTCTAGAGCAGCAGCCCCCAACCCTTTTGGCGCCAAAGGACCATTTCATGGAAGATGATTTTTCTATGGATGGGGTGGGGTGATGGTTTTGGGATGATTCAAGCACATTACATTCAAGCTCACCTCCCACTATGTGGCCCAGTGCCTAACAGGCCCAGACCGCTACTGGTCCCTGATCCAGAGGTTGGGGACCCCTGCCCTAGAGCCATCCCCCAAGTCCCTGTCTCCCTCAGCTACCAGCCTCTTGCTACTCTCCTTGCCAGTCCTGCCCTGTCACACCCTCAACCCCACACTCAGCCCTGGGTGGGGGGCCCAGGTACTCACATCCTCATCTAACACCTTCCTGTTCAGTTGTAAGGAGTGAGCACTATGTCTGCCATTTCTGGCCTCTGTTAACTGGTTCTCCTTTTCGCATTATAATCAAACCTGGCTCTGGCTTTGCTTTCAAAACTCTGTCTGATGAAGGTCTGGTTTGGAAGTCAAAGACAGGCCCTAGGTGGTTTATTCTTTGCCTTCTCAGAACGATGGTCCAAATTTACCTCCATGCAATTGGGGTACCCCAGATCGACTAAGATTCCTTATAAGGCTGCACAGAAAAGCAAGGCATGAAAACATGTCCCGGGGTAGTGTTTGCTTCCCCAAACAGTTATGGAGTGCTGGCAAGGAAGCAGGCGCTAAGCTAAGTGCTTTACTAGCATTATCTTTTTAATCTTCCTAAGAATCAGCCATGAGGATCACCACTGTTCCCATTTAACATGGGAGGGCAACGAAGTTCAGAGAGGTGAAGTCACTTTTCTGTTGTCACACAGCTGTACAATCAGCAGGGTCTGGGCCATGTAGAACACTCAACAGTTTAGGTTTTTATTTAGCTTGTATTTAGAGGCTTTCTGTCTGGATGCAGGGGAAAGGGCATTCTAGACAGAAAGCCTGAGCAAAGGCCCTGAGGCAGGATGCAGCAAGGCTGGAGTGGAGGACCTGAGAAAGGGAAGGATGGAAGATAATGCTGGGGTAACTGGCACGGAACAAAGGGAGCCAGGCAGATCTATGGAGTAGATGAGAGAAAACTAAATCCTGGAGGCAACAGGAAATGGCTTATAAGGCCTCATCTCTTGGCTTACACTTGGATGCACTCTGCAACTAAAGCAGAGCTATTCAACAATTAGACACTCCCATCCTCTTTGGGTCAGGACTGGCTGGAGAAGGACCCAGGTCTTGGTGAGCCTAGGCCGAGGAACATAGTTCTCCTCAGGGGTCAGTATGGGTTTTCTGGAGGAGGCATGAATAGGAGTTCCCAGGCAGAGAATGATTCATTTAACAGGCACTTCTTAATTACCTCTCTGTGTCCAGTCTTGTGTTAGCTCTGAGGACCCAGGAAAACAGAATGAACGAATATAATATGAAGCCTAAAGTGCTCAGAATCTTTAATGGATAGAGAATAAGCCTTAAAAGTAGGGAACTGGGTATGTCTGTGTCCTGTCTGCATCGCTTAGGGAACTCTAGCCCTGCAGTGTTTGGGGAGGGTGAATACACTTTCAGTTTTTGATCTCGGCTCAGGGGAGCAAACAGAACCCTGGAAGCTGCTGCCTTCAGAGAGTGGGATGTTCCCTGGTCATGGGACACACACAGTGGCACACTTCAGATAGGGCCCTCAGGGAAGGTCTCTCAGAGGAGGGGCCTGAAAGATGAGAAGGTGCCAGCCATGGAAGGATCTGGGGGAAGAGCAGTCCGGGAAGAATCAGCAGTACGTGCAAAGATCTGGAGGTAGAAGAGTAAGGAAGCAGGAGCAGCTGCGGTGAGGGGCCAGGGAGAGGGGCAAGAACCATGTGAGCAACTAGGAGGAGGGCAGATTTTTTCCTAAGTGCAGTGGGCATCGTGAGATCCACCCCAGTTTACAAAGACCATGGGCTGCTCCAAGAAGTCCCTCCCAGGTCAACTGGGTGGCAGCAGCTTTCTCTGATAAACTAAGAAAGTGAAAATGTCAGGGTTGACTCTTCCTGAGTCACCAGATGCCTCAGGCTTGCCCTCCTCGGTGGAGTAGGAGGAAGGCTTGGGTCAAGGTCCAGCCATTGTGCAATGAGTAGGGCTGATGGCTTCCTCTGACTCATCATTAGGATTTAGGATGGATCTTGTCACTGCTGGGGTGAGGAATGAATGAGGGTGAACAGAGCCAGCACTGGTATCTCACCTCTGCCCTGGGAGCACAGCCCCTTTTTGTGACCTGATAACCCTGCCATCCCCCAAATCTTGTCTCCACTTTCTGTTCCCCAGAAACCAGCTATGTGCAGGTGTTTGGAAGTGATCAAGGTAACCAGCATTTTTTGAGCGCCGATGAGCCAGGACTTGCCTCATGTTAATCTCATTCAAACCTTACAAAACCCAGTACAGAGAAGGAAGCTGAGCTCTGCTCTCAGTCCTGAATTCTAGTTCTGGGTCTGGCACTTCACTTGCTACTGCAGTTGACATCTGTGTGCTCTGTCTCTATTTCTCCACTCTGTAGGATGCCCAGCCCTACACTTGACTCCTAGAAGCTGCAGTCTGAGTTAATGCCAGGGACAGAAAAGGAACTTCAAATCAACTTCACCAAAAAAAGAGAATAAATTATTGGCTGACATAACTGAAAAGGCAGGGCTGTCTATCTTTGGGCATGGCTGGATCCAGGAGCTCAGATAGTATCTCTCTCTCTCTCTGCCTTTGCCTCTGTTCACTCTCTTGGCCTATCTCTCTTCAAGTAGTGACCTCTGACACTGGAGGCTTGTGTTATCCTTCAAATCAGCCACCCAAGCAAAGAGGGTGCTTCTCTTTCCAACATACTGTTGATTCTTCCCAGACCGCTCTTCCCCCAGATCCTTCCATGGCTGGCACCTTCTCGTCTTTCAGGCCCCTCTGAGAGACCTTCCCTGAGGGCCCTACCTGAAGTGTGCCACTGTGTGTGTCCCATGACCAGGAACATCCCACTCTCTGAAGGCAGCAGCTTCCAGGGTTCTGTTTGCTCCCCTGAGCTGAGATCAAAAATTGAAAGTGTATTCAAGCAAAAATTCCAGAATTGCATTTCATTGAGCAGATTGGGTCACATGCCTTCCCTGAACCAACGGTGAAGGTCACAGCAGTGGGCTCTGCTGATTGTCCAAGTCTTTCTACTTGGGAAGAGGTGTTTGTAGGGAAAAGGAGTTGGTGAGACCAGGCCTGTCCACATTTCTTGGACTGAAAGTCAGAATGAGTGTTTCCTGTAGGGCAGTTGTTTCTTGCCACCCAAATGGGGGGCAGATGCTTGTTAGGCGAAAATGCTAGAGTCCATGAAAGTTCCCAAAACCACATGAACAAAAAGAATAAATGGAGCAGTGGAAGTGCCCAGGACACTCCAACTTAAAATCTATGTATGTATATACATTTAATATAAAAATTTCCTTAAACAGTTGGAAAGTGGGACTAAAAGTCTATCTGGAAAAAGATGTTGTCCTCTTACGGTCTCCACTTGTGTTCCCCCTCAGCCATCCCTGGCCCTAGTAAAACAAATATTGTTTTGTAAAATTACAGCTGCCTCGCACTCCCCTGGCTGCCCTTCCTGGCTTCTCCCTGTCCATGCCCTAGAATCCCTAGGGTATCCCGAATATAAACTTTTGATATTGGTGGTTGGGATCCCCTTGCTTAGGGAGGAACTGCTGGGTATCAGACAGTACTCCTTTTGCTTCCCTGGGTCATCCCTTTGTCGCCTGGGAGATTCTACTATCCCATTCACTGATGGGTCTGAGTGGGATTTCTGGACCTTTCCTTTAGCATCTCATGGCAAAAAATAGGATCCTTGAGCAAGGCTGGGCTGGAGAAATTCACAGAGAGGAGGCTGAAGCTCTATAGTTCTGGTTCTTTGGGCTTGAGGATCCAGAGAATAGGAACTGGTACAATGTGAGGTGGTAGGGAAAGAAAGGTATTAAGGATGCACAGGTTTTTGGACTGGGGCTGCTCACAAACCTCAGGCTTCAGTTCAAATGCTCCCCCTTCCTTGATGGTGCTGATGGTGGGAAGCTTCCTCCCTAACATCACCACTTTCCTGCCAGCCCATCACTGAATTCTTTTTTAAAATAAAAAAAAATAATTTATTTTCCAATTTCGGTGGATATACATCATACTAATTTCAGGTGTACAACGTAGTGATTAGACATTTATATACCTTATGAAGTGTTCATCCTGGTAAGTTCCGACCCAGCACCCCCCAACCCTTCTCCCATCACTGAATTATTTTCCCCATTACATT